CATGGCAACTTACAGGGAAGTTATTGTTAGGGTCTGTGGTGTTCAGCACTCCCCATTGCTAGCAGTCAGATGAAGCCACATGTTTTATATAAAAACATTCAAATGACATTGATGAATGCGGGATCCATTTGATCTACCACAACGTCAGACATCGTATTCCCCTGAAAAATACGAAAACACTATTGTCACGGTAAGGGAATAGAGAACAGGCGACCACGTTTTGGGCGATTGACTCCTGACCTTCATTTACAGCCTCTGCCACTAGGAGTCACTAGTGAGCCCTCGATGTTTGCTATTCAGGATATGTAGTGAATTAAATTATATGCGCTGGTCCCGATGTAATAGTTACATTAGAGTTATTTTTAGAGCTATATGCTAAGAAGTAAGGAAGTACGACATTCCTTCCAACCCTACATACTGAGAAGTCACCAGCGGGGACGAACGGCCGCATCACGGCCTCTCGCGAGCCACTCCTGGCAAGGACCTCCGGAGAAGGCGTGTCGAAAAGCGAAACCATCAGCGAGGCAGCAAAATTCAGGCGCGAACTAAGCCCAGAATAGCTCCCTCCCACTGAAATCCTATACCCAAAAGGCTGGCTCGACCATAGCCCTGTAAGAGTATGGTCAGCGACCCCCTCGAACGGTTCGGCTAGACGACAGCCCGGAAGATGAGCAGGCATCCTTCGTGAGATGCAACCACTCATTCCTCACTCTACCGCAGTTCGTGTGGAGACCATAGGCGCAACTACGACGGTCGAGTGGAACCCCCCGAGTGAGGGTCCCAAGCGACGCCGGCCCCCGGACACAAGGACTCCGCACCGCCATCGGATCTGGCAGAAGAATTGATTTTGCTAGTGGACGAGTTAGAAGGAAATAAAAACACCTACTTTGTTGTCACCGTATCCTCCTGTGATCGTATTTCCACCCGGACCCCACAACGGACTACGACACGAAACAGTCGTACCGTAACATCTGGTGGCAGCGGTGGGATCGTACCACACATCCGAGAAACTGTGTGATGTTGACTGACCGAGGGGAATTCCGGCAACGGTGAGGTCTGGAGGATCAGGCTTGATTACGAGAGGGGGTAATGTGACGGATGAGGATGGCATCGAGGGGCACAATTAACTGTCTCGGGTTTGGTGGTGGTAGCAAGCCTGACTGGCAATCAGGAGGCGTGAGTTCAATTCCCGGCCTGTTCCTTTTCTTTCGGCCTTCCGTCGTCCGTCTCCACTTTATCCCCTTCCCCTTAACACTATTTTAGCACATTTTGTAACCTGAATATTTTTTCAAATAATGGAATGTGAGTAAAATCTGATAGAATACGGATTTCTATTCCAACGAAAACGGGCACTCTTGCCCTCCATTTAACGCAGCTACCCCCATGTTGAACGTGCGCGCGCACACCACTCTATGCTTAGCTAGCCTATAACCAACCCTTTTTAGAATCAAAATTATTATTTATTTTTATTACTATTTTCCAATAAAAAAATAGACTAACGCAATCTACTCATCAATAGCTTACGATTGAGATATCATATGTACCATTTGACACGCAGTCCATTTCGGAAGTATTTTCCTCAAGGTTGTTTAATAAGCGGTAGGAGAAGTTCAAGTAGCAGTCGGAAGTGAAGGGCATCGTCGAGATCCAAAAGCCTGATTAGTCCGATCCAAGAGAGAGCTGTAAAGAGAGATCAGGAAAGAAACATAATGAACTGTGAAATTATTTAAAGAAATAACATGTTATGTATTTATTTGCAAGCCTACGGTCCGTGACAATTAATTTGATGCCACTCTTACCTTCCTACCACCTCTCCCTAATGGTTAGGTGATTCGATTAATTGCGTAATATACATGTAGTTAATACGAAATTAAGGTAGCAATTAAATAGGTTACATTATATAAATATATTCGAAAGGAGCAAGCCTAGCTTATTTAGCGATATAATAGACGCTCGATCCGACAAGGGAGATACTCATGGGTTTAATAAACTTTTTAAATCTCTCTCAAAGTCTTCAACCTTGAAGTGGCACAGCCATTCTGAAAATTATCGTACTAGGCCAACTTATAAAGACGGATAATGGTTTGTTCAGAAAATCACCCGAGGAAATAATAACCTAAAGGAAAAACTCACAAGTTGTAAAGCCCAACGAGTCTAATAACTCATAAAATAATGATAAGATTATGTCTTTTTGCTCCTATAGTGCGATAGGCACGCGAAGACGTGCAGACGACGAAGCCCCCTTCGTCGTCTGCACGTCTTCGCGTGCAGGCTCTCTGTGATGGGTTCCGAAAGCGGTTCACCTAACGCTTTGTATGGCGAGGAATGTTTACTCCTCCCAAGCCTTGGACAGTAAATAAACATTTGTTGCCATGGGAGCGAATTCTATTTTCTTCCTAGAGTGTCGTTAAACACGAGTCTCTGTTTAGAAGATTTCAAAATCCCTCCCCGCCCGCGGGACCTTCGTTTCGAGTCTCAGTCCGTTTCCGATCGCAATCACTGTCTCCCGAACACAGGGCATAACCCCATTAGGTACGGTCAACGTCGACTGGAACCGCTGGGTTTTCCAGCTACTCGTGGACTTCATATATTAAGGGATCTGCTTTGCGAGGAAGGAAACCATAATATTTCGCGAACTAGGTAATTCCCTGAGTTTCTGAGATGTCAACAGTACCGTGTAGAATACAAAAAAACCATCCAATCACATTCAGCAGCATCTACAACACGCACTAAGCCACAATTCATGGGGCACAACGGCTCATCGCCTGGACTCGGTCGCGCTCCATTGAGGAGCAGTGAGGCATTGCAGCCATTGCGGCAATTGAATGCTCCACGGCATATCTGGCGGTGCGGAACGCTGCAGTCGGCAGGTTTAACGACGATTTGGCGGAGGATTCTCGTCAGAATAGAACTATATGGGAGTGTGAGGAACTTCTTGGAATGAAGATGACGCGCCTGGTGGAGTATTGCAGGCAGTGTAGTGCGTGAGCATGTGCAGCATGAAGTCAAGCTTCTGGGATAAAGGGGAAACGGTGAAAGTGATATATATAGGGTGCGGCAAAAAAAGTCCAGATTTTAAAGGTTAACAAAAAAAGCATGGTAAATGCTATTCAACATTTTATTACATAATCTAAAAGTGCATGAAATACAGATTATTTTCAATTGGTTTTGAATATGACATCGCCCAGATGGTGGCCTTCATTCGCGATACACATTTGTAGTCGATTTCTGAAGTTTCGCATCACTCGGCGGGTCATTTTCGACGTTATCGCTGCAATTTCTTGGCGTACTCGTAGCAGCCTTCAGTTCATTAATTGGTCGATGTTTGTAGATCTCAGCTTTCAGATGGCCCCAAAGAAAAAAGTCACAAGGGGCGAGATCGGGTGAACGTATAGGCCACCCAACGTCACCGCGTAACGAGATCAAGTACCCTGGAAACAGTTCTCTCAAAACTCCATTGATCTTCTCGCCGTGTGAGCGGTGGCCCCATCCTGTTGAAACCACACATCCGGATTTTTCCAGTTCGGTGAGTTTCAGTTCCAAGAATTTCCGTAGCATCTCCACATACCGATGGGAAGTTACTGTAACCGTTTGGCCATCCTCCTCAAAAAAGTAAGGGCCATAAATACCAAAATCTGCAACAGCGCACCAAACTGTGACACGTTGGCTGTGTAGAGCCCTTTCATAAAGCTGATAATGATTATTTTCCGCCCAGTAACGAAAATTCTGCTTGTTACCGTAGCCAGACAAATGAAAATGAGCTTCGTCACTTGTGAGCAGAACAGCGTTTGGAAGACCATTTTGAAGTTTGACACGCTGATCTTCAGTTCCATCCGTACAAAATGGTGGTTGTTCAGGAACTTAAGGAACGCGACTGGGAGAACCGAATGGCATGTTGTGAGGATATCCTTCAAAAATGTTCTTGCAAACGAACTGAAAGCTGAGGTCTTCAAACATCGACCAAGAACCATTAATGAACTGAAGGCTGCTACGAGTACGCCAAGAAATTGCAGCGATAACGCCGAAAATGACCCGCCGAGTGATGCGAAACGAAATGATGATTTTCAGAATGGCTGTGCCAATTCAAGGTTGAAGACTTTGAGAGAGATTTCGAAACCCATGAGGATCTCCCTTGTCGAATCGAGCGGCTATTATGCCGCTAAAGCAGTTAGACTTGCTCCTTTATATCTGCTGTCTGCTTTACCTAGATGGTGCGGGAGGTTCCTTAGTCGCTAGGGGCTTGGCTTCGAACAAAACAATTTACATATATTATATATTAAATTAATATAAACATGTTGCTTGGGCATAAAATTATTGAACATCACACAGTATTTTTTGATTGCATGAAGGCAATTGTTTCGAACAAACTCTTCGTAAAGAGAAAATGTCTTATAGGAACATTGCATAAGTGCTGCAGAAAGCAATTGAGTGATGGAACTGTGTGCAACTGTATCAGTCTCGGAAGAGTTTTAAATGACACCTTTTGCAAAGATGCAACTCGTAACCTTCGTGGCTTTTTGTGGAACTATTCGAATATACCAATGTAGTTTCACCGTACGAGATCGAACCAATAATAAACAGTTCCAGGGAGAACCAATATTCTTTACAGTGTAGATGATGGTACGGGATCCCCCTTGCAAACCTCTATCGAGTAAAATGGCCCTTACTTTCAAATTTCAATTGTGTCAAGGTTTCAATTAAGCATAAACGGTAGGGGGAACAATTTTCAGGTCCAACCAGTACTCGTAACTGAGAATTTATGATTCTAAGGAAGACACGTTATCCTTTACGAACCAGGGCCTTCCTCTATTTTCAAATTGGCTAGTCTGTAACACAGATGGCTCTTTATACCAGTTAGTGGAAGAGATCTCCTGTTGTTGTGTAAAACAATTCACGAATTTTTTACCTTCACATGCTTCCAGAACGGATTGAACCAAATTTCATTAGCACTGTACATTCAGCACCTTTATTACAATATCAGCGAGAAGCTTCATTTCCATTCACGAGAGCTCTCCTGCAAGGAAGCATTCTACTCGTTGCCAGTACTCAGAGTAATCATGTACGTTGAGATGTCCTGCCCCTTCGACCCAGAGTGGCCTCACTGCTCTCCGACACCTCTCATGCACGGTCTTCCCGTGGGATAGCGGAATGACTTCATCCTGAGTTCCATGAATGACGAGCACAGGCGAGTCGATGAGGGGCACCAATTCCGCTACGGGGAAAGGACCCATGGACCAAGTGCCTGAGAGAACCATCCCCAATCCAGATGATAAGGGTGAGTGGAGGATAACGCCTGGCAGTTTCTTCAGCTTGGAAGCCAATTGAGCAGTTGGTGCTGTTCCTAGGCTTTTACCGTATAGAACGACTTTTTCCTCTGGGACTCCGTACTTTGTCCACAGAACTTCGAATGCCGCTTTGATGTCTGCGTAAAGGTCGTCTTCTGAGGGCTTCCCGGTGCTTCTGCCGAACCCAGAGTAGTCGTAGCTGAAGACATTGCAATTGAACTTATCGCTCAGTTTGAGCAAAAAGTGAGCTACGCGGCCGAGATCCTCCCCATTTCCGTGCGAGAAGAAGATGGTCTTTTGTACAGTAGTGGAGCATGGGACAAACATAGTTACAATTCTATTTCCTCGTGAAGTATGGGTGAGTCCCGCCTCGAGGCGACTCCTCTCATCTTCTCTAAACACCGATTCCGCTTCATCGTTGAAAAAAAACTCCTGGCGGCTGTTGGGGTCTCTGGTTGACGATCTCAAATCATATGAGGGTGACGGTGTGTGGAACACAAAGGCAGATGCAATGCTCGAAGTCACGGAGTTGAATAAATGCCCAAAGAGACTCATTCCGCTCGCTTCCACGTTCCTAACGTCTGCTCCTGGAGATTGGCATAAGAAAAAAGAGCGGCATTACCTTCTGGATGATTTACAGTCATTGTTGACTATAATGGAGTGAAATGAAATGAAATGAAATATCCATGCCATGGGCATTATTGGGAAACCAAATTGCATGTTTTTCAGCACAGCAAGGGTTTCTTGCAAGAACCAAAACAATGAATTTTCAAGCAAGGCCTACAGAAGTCCATCAATACCCAAAAAAATATAAATAATCTAATAGTTCTTGAGTGCTCATAAATCATTTATACCTACTGACTGGTGAAGGCTATTATGTATAATTCCGGGAGCCGCCATAGAACCATGCTACAAAAGTAATGGTTCAGTCTAGAAATGTTCTTACGGTTTCAAAACATCAAAAAAGTTCCAAGTACTCTGAAAACTTTTGAATTTTTTTTTCAAGCAAAGATGTGAATCCAAATGAAATTCCATCGCTCTCGTAGAATCCTGTTCTTTCCTTTCACCTTGGGAAAAGCCCTTCAGACATGCCCCCCTCCAACCTTGGCAACTTCTTCCCGCTCTATTGCTTCATATACCTCGCGGATTCGCCTTCCCTGAATCGTGAATAAAAGCTGACGCCTCTTTCCACAATTTACAATTGAAGGGCTGAAAAGGCAAAGTGGTGTATCTGCAAATAATTACTTCCTGAAGCTCCACGCGGAAAGATTGAATGTTCTAGTGGCTATCTTGATAAAAGGGAGGGAAGGGGATATGTATCAATTCATCTATTACATAATGCAAAAAATAAATTTCCATGAAATGACCAAGGTTCTATTATCACTAACTCAACTACACTTCTTCTGAAATATTTTGTAGAGATCGCTTTACCTTTCAGCCATTCGATTCATACTTCTTACTAAATGATGACATTATTCAGGATTCGCCTTCTTTCCATGTCATTGAGAAGGATGGAACTCAGAAGATTCATCGATGTTGTTCAATTCTACATCAATGTTCGGACGTGCTTTGATCATAGCCTTGTCCATGACTGAACAAATTTTAGAACCTGTATCAGATGCTATTCTTGAACTGAATAATCGATATGAGAATAAATAAAATTCCAAAGCAGTCTACAGGGATTTCCTCTCCTCTCGGCTTGATGGAGCCTCCAGGTTATGTTTATTCGTTTGTATCCCTATTTTGTAAACTACCCCAATCAAACATTTCAGTTGCAAACAAGAGCTAAATCCATCTGTTTATTTGGACGGCTTTCCAGACGGTTCTTGGATAAAAATATACAGAGGTTTGGCTAGGAAGCTACATCTTCCATCATGGGGAATAAATATGGCTCCATATCTGACTCCTTCCAAAAGTTAATTCACTATCTCTTGATTTCTTTCAGTAGATTATATACATAGCGAAGTGACTGGGCGTCAAAAATAGCATTTTAAACTACCTGCTGCTCACAAATATAATAAAATAGCTGGAGTCTTCCTTAAATGCCAACCCTGATGTTCTACATGTAAGACATTCCATGCGTAAGACGGCGTGCTGAGGTGCACACGAAAAATTTGCAAAGGTTCATATGTCAGCTACTTCACTAAGAATTGTCTAGTCTTGCCTGGTCTGGTCTATGCCTGACGTAAGCATGTTAGGTCCGGCCATATAATTCTGAGTAATATAACTGACTCATGAACCATTCCATACTTTTTTGCGCACACCTCCGCATGCTGTCCCACATATACAACGCCGGGCGTATCTAGGTTAATGAGAAGAGCCCCTCCTCTACTGGAATAACCTAATTAAAAACTTGTGTCCCATCGGGAGATCTCATAATTTCTCATGAGATCTGCCAAATTCCTCATTAGTATAATCCTCATGAGAAACTTGTGAGATCTCATTAGGATTTCATGAGGTTTTTTCAGCAGGGTCTTCAGTATCTTTGAGGAGGCTATTGAAGTTGCTCTGGCCATTCCAATAAAAAGTAGCTTTTCACCTGTCGAAGAAGACCAGCTAAGTACCGCTATCACATCTACTTCCATATTATTCCAACCAGAACACATCCAGAATTTATGTGGAACTTTTAGAGTGGGACATGCATTTAATCCTTTCGTGGGTAATGGAAACAATTATTCCCAGAAAGGTTTTGACTATTCCGCCCCTGCTGAAAAAACCTAATGAGAATATCATCAGTTTTTCTTGTGACATCATGAGATCACATGAGACCTCCCCCTGTTTTCATGAAGTTCTGCTTGAGACCACATGAAGGTTAATTGTGGAAGCATGAGCTTCAGGAAAATATCATGAGGTCTCATGAGTGCAGTAAGTGGTCTCATGAAGAACTTATAAGGACTCTCTTAATAATCATGAGAGTGTGCGTGGGAATCAAGGATAGTCGTATTGCTAATGGGAGACACACTTGAAAATGGTCCAATGGTCCATTGCATCAAAAAAGTAATGCAACTGTTACTGGTGCCATGTACCTCAACTTGCTTCAGGAATCAATCGTCCCACACATTCATGAGGTATTTGAGGATGAGGAGGAATTTTTTTTCCACAAGATGGGTCACCTCCCCATTTTCATCGCGATGTTAGGGCCTATCTGAATGAAACTATCCCAAACAGATGGATTGGACGAAGAGGCAGTGTTGAGTACCCTCCGCGTTCACCATATCTAACACCATTAGATTTTTATTTATGGGGATACCTCAAAGATAACGCCTATGCCACAAAACCAACAACTATCGCTGAAGTACGGCAAGCTATTGAAGCAGAATGTGCAGCAATATCAACAGATATCTTCGGTGATGTATGCACTTCAGTTTCTCGACGATGTCAACAATGCTTGGATGAGAATGGAGGACATTTTGAACACTAGCATGAATGCATACTTTTTTCTCACATTTCTTCTTCATTATCTAAGATATACAGACGATCGTGACTAACTGACTCACTGACGCTAATTCTAACCATGTTCCAGAAAGGTTAGAAATCTGAAACTTGGTACACATGTACCTNTGCTGGATCAGAAAATTCAGAAAAATTTGCGAAATATGTGCCCTCGGGCGTTCTAACCGAAAAGTACCATTTTTACGAAATTAAACCTCAGTGAACTACATGCCCTGGGGGTACACATTTTGGGGGGAGAAGTTTTTTAAAATACTGTATATATCGTCATGGATAAGGATGTCTTCGAGAGATATACTTGCATGTCGCCATTTCGGTGTTTTAACGGTAGCACATCCAATCCGTAGTCGTGAGGACTGGGTTCAATACCCACCCGTTCCATGCCTTTTTCTTGGCTTCTCTTGCCTTTCATGTCCCGTGGCTTGAGTAAAACGGAGAGAAATAGAAAGCTGAAACGTGCCATGGATGTGCCTACCGACACGATGGGTTCAGGAAAAATGCAAAATTTTAGATCCATGCCCTGGGGGTATATTTTTGGGGGCCAACGTTTTTAAGTGTATTTTTTTGTCCTGGTGTATTGAACTAATGTGGAAAGATGTAACTTCGCACAGAACTACCTTCCGGGATGCTGCGTGCAGAAAAATTCAGACTTTGAAATGAAAATGCCCTGGGGGCATGAATTTCAAAGTTTTCACATAATTTTTTTTGCAATAGTTAAACCGTTGGACATAGAAAGCTGGAACTTTGTATGAATGTGACTACCAAGATAAGGAGGTGAAGAAAAATGTTATGCCTTGATTCATGCCCGGGGGAAAATTACTCGAGGGGCGATGTTTAAAAAAAAATTGTACTGGCGAATTGGACAGAAATGGAAAGGTGAGATTCGGCACACGTACAAGTGACGTGATCTTATGGAGCTGAGGGAGTATTCAGCTTTTATGGTGCATCCCCTCCGGGCATAGCATTTGGGTGGGTCGGCTTTCCAAACATCATTTTTCACCAGCGAAAAAGGCAAATGTATGATATTAATACTTTGTGGGCATGTAGTTCACTGAGGTTTAATTTCGTAAAAATGGTACTTTTCGGTTAGAACGCCCGAGGGCACATATTTCGCAAATTTTTCTGAATTTTCTGATCCAGCAAAACAGATATGCTGGAAAGGTTGAAGTTGGCAAAGAAATAGAAAGATGAGTAGCTGAGTAAAGAAACAATTCTACTTTCATATTATATATAGATGATCGTGAGTAGCTGACTGACATAAGTAGCTATTCACATGCTGAGTTCAGGGAAAATTACACTTTGGTGATACACGCCATAGGGGCACACCTTTTCGGGGAACATATTTTCAAATGGTTCTCTTTGCTTTAATCAAACCCATGGAAGACCATGGACATCTGTAACATGGCAAGAACGTGACTGGGGAAGTACTTAGCTCAAATGGCAAATGTCAAATTTCCAAAATATTTTTTGGGCAATTTTCTTGAGGACGTAACGTTTTCAAAGAATTTCAAACATCCCTGCGAATCAGGCAGAAATAGAAAAATAGCAGCTGGCGCACGCATAACGGACGTGATGTTGATTGAAGGAAAAATTCAACTTTTGCTGAGCAACTCCCCAGAGAGCAGCTTTTGGGTGGGTTGCTTTTCCAAATATATTTTTTACCGCCAGCAAAATGGGGAAACGCATAAGGCTGAAAGTGGGTGGCATAGAGTTCCGTGAGTCTATATTTCAGTCTAAAAATTTTCGCTAAAAAAAATCAGACCACTTTTTTTAAGTCCCATTTTCGTGAAATATTTTTCGATCCAACAAAACAGAAACGGAAAATTAAAAATTCCCTTCAGAAGTACCTGTTTGATGGCTGAGTACAGGAAAAATCCTACATTTGAAATATGCCTCATGAGCATAGATTATATGAGGGAAGTATTTGAAAATGTATTCTCCACCTTTAAAAAAGGGCCACACGAAGAGATATCAAGTTAGGCACGCTAGAAATAATAGAAGTAATGATTTTGATAACAAAAAGAGGACTTTCGTCCCCATATGTCACATATTCCAATGGGATGTACTTTAAATACGTGCTTGCCATTTCGCAAAGAATACATTCT